TTGAGAAATGTGGATGCCAAGGTCTTCTTGGCCATAAGGGAAATATGGCAATGATCTGTTTTCCTTCTTTGCCAATTTTCTTCAATAGGTTAGGTATGATAGGTAGGGGAGGGAACACATGCCCCAGATCGAAGTTCCATGGTTGTGACAGAGTGTCTTGATCTGTTGATAGAGGGTCTGAAGTCAGAGAGTAAAATTCCTTTACATGAGCATTCCTCCTTTTCACCATAAGGCCAATTTGGGGTATGCCCCACCTTCTTGTAATCATCTTGAAGACTCCATTCTTCTGGATGAATGGTTTCCCTGCTCAGATAGTCCACGAAGGTGTTGTCTATACCTGGAATGTCTAGTGCCTTTAGACCCATGAGATGCTACTGAGCCAGATTTATCAGGGGTTTCTGATGTGCCACCCTAATGATTGATGTATCCAGCCACAGCCCTGTTGTCTGTGCGAATCAACACACACTTGTGATGTAATAAAGGAAGAAAACCTTTCAGAGCCTTGTAAATTGTTATCAACTCTCTTAGGTTGGAATGAAGCTTCTTCTCCTGTAGAGGCCATTTCCCTTGAGTCTAGGTTGAGTTGAGATGGGCTCCCCGACCTTTGAGGCTGGCATCCGTCGTGATTGTAAGGCAGTCTGGTTCTTGTAAACAAAACCCTCTCTGGAGATTGTGAAGCGATAACCACCACTTAAGTTGGTACTTCACCTTTAGTGTACCCAAAATTTCTTACCCCAATCGTTTTGGAGAATCTTGAACTGGAGGAGAAAATTTGTTTGGATAGTTCTTGAGTGCCACTGGGCCCATTTTAATAGACCTATGGTGGAAGTCAGAGACCCTAGTAGACTCATATAGTCTCTTGCGGATGTTGAACTCTTCTTCAGAATCATCCAAACTTTCTCCTGAACCCAAGAACTTCTTGTAGCGGATGGCACTGGGCTGTCCTGAGAATTACATGTGTTTGAATGCATTTGTGTAAAATGGCAAAGTTATATGTGTTAAATGTATTGTATTCGTCTGAATGTTAGGTAGTTTCATTCCCTTAGTTTGTTCGAATGAAACTACCGAACAGTCAGACCTCCCCTGTGTGAAGTGTGCCTTCAATTACCCGTTGCAACATTGTTGCGAACGGGTAATTGACAAGCTGAGTAGCCGTCCTTTGTTCTCAGGGGTGGCCGCCATTCGGGAAACGAACACGTGGCGGCGGCCATTTTAAAACTCCCGAACAGCGGTATTTTGCCGTCAAGTGTCTGGAACTCAAATCGGGCACTCGACTAGGCGAACACCGCTGAGACCTCCACAAGCCCGGTCCGTTCGGTTCCAAACTACCGAACGGCCCCTCGTTCGGTAGATAGAAACAACCGAACGAGGGGATTCAGGCGAACCCTCCCTAGTCTCTGTAGCTAGAGGCTTTCGTGCAGTTTATTCCCCTCCTCCAGGACCGACCGCAGGGCCCCATCGCATGGAACCCCATTCAGCTGTTCTCTCCAGTGCGGTCGGTCATTCTATTCCCTCCATAAATTTCCCGAACCCCTGGTCTGATCTGGGTGATTTTTGGATATGTTGTTCACCCAGATCAGGGCTACCAGGGGGATGTATAATTTAAAGTGATACCCCTAAGTTTAGGGGTACATCCAGAAACAGAGGGAATTGGTGTGCTGGATAAGGGGATTATGATGCAGGCTGAGGGGAGGAGATGTGTGGGAGGTTACCAGAGCAGGATTGGCTACTGTACAAATTAATGGAAATCCCTCCCTTGCATGGGAGCAGGCTTTATCAGGCCACTGTGTGAATAAATCTTTAGGTCTGCTCCTGATACTGTGTGTCATCCAGTTATTGGGATTGCTGTTGGGATACTGCTGTGTCATTTTGCCTGCTGGATACTTTACCCTATGGATTTATAATTGCTTGTTCCTGAACCTCCCTGGGATCTAAAGTGGAGATAGGCTGTGTAATACCAGCTCTCTGCTACACTTCTGTCTGTGGAAATTTTCACTGAGGCCTTAGTGTTGTCTATCTCTGCTCCCATATAAATAATCTGGTGATATGGTTCCAGAGAACTCTTCTCTAAATTTACAATCCATCCGTGGTCTCTCAGACACTGCAGGGCACTGTTTGTGTGTATCAAGGATCTGTCATAGTAAAGCTGCTATAATCAGGATGTCATCTATGTAATTAAAAATTCTCTTAGATAGGCAATGAGTGTTACCAGAACTTTTGAAAATGTCCTGGGAGCTAAGCTTAGACCGAATGGAAGACCTCTGAATTGGAGATGTTTGCCCAATATTAAGAATCTCAGGAACTTGAAGTGATGAGGATGAACTGGAATCTTATAATTGGCATCCCTTGGGGCTATCAAGGTAAGCCAATCTCCTTGATTTATTGAAAAATAAATCCTGGAGTTCCAGATTTATATCTGTGAAGAAAATAGCATGCTATTCGGGACCTTTTATGTTTTTTTGGTTCGATAGGTGTAACTACCGAACTCCGACCACCCCCCTGGCTCTTTATCTTCAAAAGAAACGGCTGATTAAGCGCTCTCCCTGTGTGGCCATCTTGTTCGCACGAAAGGAGGCCGCGGTACTTGGTCGTCGAGTGCCTGGAACTAGAATCGGACACTCGACTTCCCAAACACCGGTCAAAGTATATGAACGCCTGCTTCCTTTTCCTGAACAGCCAGGAGAGCGCTGCTCGGTAGTTTGGTTCCCACAAACCAGGGGAACAATCGCTACTATGAGCCAGGGGGTTCCGTTCGTGCATTTGTTCAGTTTTATGACTTTTCTAAATAGACCGACCGCACAGCCTAAACTCATGGAACTGTTTCTGGGCAGGAGCCTCATGTGCAGTCGGTATAAATGGGACTTCCATAAAATTAGAAAACCCCTGAACTGATCTGGGTGATTTTTGGATATGTTGGTCAGGGCTATCAAGGGATATGACATTTATGGGGATGCTATGTGTTTTAGGGTACTTTCTAAGTTTTGGGGAAAATATGTTTTTACTGCCTGGAGATAATTGAGTTATTAACCCCTTCAGGACCGAGGACGGTTCAGGACCGTCATTTTAGCGTTGCCGACTGCCGACTGTCCTGAACCGTCCTAACGGTGTAATGTACTTACCCGATCGCCGTTGTTCCCAGTGTGGGGAGACTGCCTACAGCCCAGACAGTCTCCCCATGGCGGATTAGGACCGCTGGGGCCATGTGATCGCTCAACAGAGCGATCACATGGTCACAATAGGTATGCATGTGTCTCCCTGCTAGTGTAAAATAAAAAATAATAACTGTTAATGTTAATAAATATAAAAAATTATATATGTGTGTATATATATATATATATATATATGTATATATATATATATATAATGTCATACTAAGTGTATTTTTATATTAATATGTACATATATTAATATAAAAATACACTTATAATTAAATTACACAAATATATATATAATATATAATAACTATATATATTGTATATATATATTATTATAAAATACAAATAATTAATTTAAATTAAATAAAAACATGTAAAAATAATATTAAAAAAATTATATCTAGATGAAATGTTATTCTAACTGTATTTTGATATTAATATATATTTATATCAAAATACACTTAGAATGAAATTGTATATATATCTATGTATATATAAATAAATAAAAATAATACGAAATATACATATGTCCATATACAAAATTACATAAATAAATATACACGTAGACTTCAAATATATACATATGCATATATATTTAAATTCTACGTGCGTATTTATGTAATATTTTTACATAATTAAGTAATTTTATTGATTGCAATTTGAGGGACCTGCCTGCCAACCCAGGCTGAAAGTCCAGAGAATTTAATTTGCTAGCACTGTATTTTACCCTGAAACTTTTTATGACACCCTAAAACCTGTACATGGGGGGTACTGTTTTACTCGGGAGACTTCGCTGAACACAAATATTAGTGATTCAAAACAGTAAAACATATCACAGTGATGATATTGTCAGTGAAAGTGACTTTTTTTGCATTTTTCACACACAAACAGCACTTTTACTGATGATATAATTGTTGTGATACGTTTTCCTGTTTTGAAACACTAATATTTGTGTTCAGCAAGGTCTCCTGAGTATAACAGTACTCCCCATGTACAGGTTTTATAGCGTTTTTGAAAGTTACAGGGTCAAATATACGGGTCAAATATTTTTACATTAAAAATGGCCAGGCTGGTTACGTTGCCTTTGAGAGCGTATGGTAGCCCAGGAATGAGAATTACCCCCATGATGGCATACCATTTGCAAAAGAAGACAACCCAAGGTATTGCAAATGGGTTATGTCCAGTCTTTTTTAGTAGCCACTTAGTCACAAACACTGGCCAAAATTAGTGTTCAATTTAGTTTTTTACTTTTTTTCACACACAAACAAATATGAACACTTACTTTGGCCAGTGTTTGCGACTAAGTGTCTACTAAAAAAGACTGGACATACCCCATATTGAATACCCTGGATACATGTACATGTGGGGTGTTATTCAGAGATTTATGACAGATAATAGTGTTACAATGTCACTATTGATATATTTTAAAAATGTATGTTTTGAAACCGCAATATCCTACTTGTACCTATAGCCCTATAACTTGCAAAAAAGCATGTAAACACTGGGTATTTTTAAACTCAGGACCACATTTTGAATCTATTTAGCAGTCTTTTTCATTTGCTTTTGTAGATGAGTAAAAGATTTTTCAAGTAAAATTAAAAAAACATGTATATTTTTAAATGTTTCATTGAAAAACGCCAGAAAAGTGTAAAAAGAGGCATGGTCGCAAATGTACAACATCGCAAAAACAGTCCGTCCTTAAGGGGTTAATCTAGCTGACTCAATTATCTCACAGGCAGAGAGGAGGGGATTGTCTGTTTGTATTAGGAGTGTCACACTTTGTCACTGTAATATTATTGGCTGTAACCTTTGTGTCCCTGTCCCCCACAAGGACCATGTGGGAGTGCCCCTTGCATGGGGACTTGCATAAAAGCCAGTGTGGCACCATTAAAATGCATTCCTGTTGTACCAGTGGCGGATCCAGAAGCTAATCTCGGGAGGGGCACTGGCAGATAATTTTAAGAAACAATCCAGGCACAATAACCACTAAAGCTCTCTGTAGTGGTTTTGGTGCCAGGATTTGCTGTGGTGCCCTCCCAGAGTAAGTAGTAAGGATGGCTATGTGTGTATGGGGGGCTGTGTGTGTGTATAAGGGGGGCTGTGTATATAAGGAGGGCTGTGTGTGTAAGGGGGGCTGTGTGTGTAAGGGGGGTTGTGTGTATGGGGAGCTGTGTGTGTTTAAGGAGGGCTGTGTGTGTAAGGAGGGCTGTGTGTAGGGGGTTATAGTTTGTGCGTGTGTAAGGGGGGCTGTGTGTGGTGCAGTGTGTAGGGCGTTATAGTTTGTGTGAGGGGATAGGGGGCTGTGTGTGTGTAAGGGGGGTTGTGTGTGTGTAAGGGGGCTGTGTGTGGGGGTTATAGTTTGTGTGAGGGGATAGGGGGCTGTGTGTGTGAGGGATAGGGGGCTGTGTGTGGGGGTTATAGTTTGTGTGAGGGGATAGGGGGGCTTGTGTGTAAGGGGGGGTGTGGTGCAGTGTGTGAGGGGGTAGAGGGGCAGATTAAAGATAGTTATTTAATCATTAAAACAAAAAATAACTAAATATAGCTAATGTCCCCCCTCCCTTCTTACCTTTGCTTAGGGAGGGGGAGACATTGCTTTATTCCAGTCCCTGGTGGTTCTAGTGGGGGAGTGAACTCTAACCTGCAGCTCAGGCTAGAGGTCACTTTCGCAAGAACGGAGCATTGCCCTGGTAACCATGGCAACGCTCCTCCGGGTTCTCTCTCCTTCTCCCTCACTGATCTCCCCTCCGGTCCGTGATGGCAAACAGCAGGGCTGGTGCTTGGATAGCACCAGCCCTACATGGGCAGGCAGGGGAGACCCTCGGCCAGTACTATTTTCTCGGGGGTGGGTGGGGCAATTGCCCCGTTGCCCCCCCCCCCCTGGATCCACCAATGTGTTGTACCCTTCATGAGGTCTAGGCTCATGTTTGGGTAACTGTCTACTTGCTGGGGAGTAACTACTTGGATGCTGCATTCATCTGGAACTATTCAACTCTAAACCCGAACTGCAGCTATAATCACACAGGCTCAGCAGTTCGGGAGGAATAGGGGAACAGGGTATCTACTATACCAGTGTTCGTAACAATAACCTTGAGATCTATAATAAGTCTCCACTTGTTTTTTGTTTTTGAAACCTGTCATACTCTTGAGTATCTTCCTAAGAACTTGTCGTTTGGAGGAACTTCTTCTATAACTGTCAGGATTTTACCTGGTATGGAGTCCGACATGCAGAGTTATACGCTCACCCTTGCAAATAATCACATACCAAGGTGACCAGGCAAGAAACCACCTGGGTTGTTAGTCTGTGCACGGGGCTATGCAGGAATACTGCTCCAAGTCGCAGAACAGGCAAGGATTACCCGAAGAGTAGTTGTGGAAAGCCAAAGCCAGAGGTCAGAATAATCAAGGAAATAAGCCAAGGTCGGAAGCCGGAATCAGTCTGAAAGAACACTGGATCAAGATACGAATATCCGGAACCAAACAGCAGAACCAGAGTCAATGAACTGACCAAGCTCCCATGGTAAGGCAGTGCTTATATATCCAGCTAATAATGATCTGCTTCAGGTGTGTTAGATAGACATGAGCAGCCACGGGTAAAGTTCAGCCCCCAGTGCTGGAGACAAGGCTAGGATGGACATTAGGCAAAAACATGAATAGATGGGTGGCTCAGAGGAAAGAGAGCAGGACCAAAGCAGCAAGAGTCCAGAGTTCAAATTCCCCCAAAGCTACCAGAAAGATAACTACACCTGGCCTTCCACATGTCATGATGGAGATCGTGACATTACCCCCTCTGAAAAAATCGCCGTCAGGGTGTAAACATGAACACTATCTCCTCTTTTTTCTGAGACTTTGATGGCTTGGTATTTCTCTTTAATCCCTAGTGTAGGGACGGGGTCATTATTTTTCTTTATTAAGCCATACTTGACAACTTGTGAAATCGTAGGTTTTTCCCAGGTATGTATAAGTGTACGTAAGGTTATTGGTTGTGAGGAAGAGCATGTTGAATCTTGATTGGAGGTGTCTTCAGGGGGGTTAGCCTCCACATACCTCATAGCATCCAGATAACTTTCATAAAGGCAGAGTTCTTTAATTGGCGTGTTAGTACCATCACTGGCTTTCACAAGTCCAGGGGCACCAAATGGATGTTTTGCCGTGTTCCATTTTTCTGTGGATTGGATGATAGGAGAAGTAGTCATAGCAGCAGCCATAAGTTCTGGACATTCGCTCATAGCTTCATCCTCTGAACCCATGCCATCTGAGGGCAGAAAATCACAGCCCATCTCTACAGATTCCAAATCAAAATCATGAGAACCTAGTAGATCAACTGAGGGAGGACTGGCTATGTGTTCTTGGGAAACACTGGCATCATTAGCCATCGCAGTTGGGGTACTCTTCTGCATCACTGAACGTGGAAATGTACGAAAGGATCCATTTTTCAGGCTGTGTTGCAGGGATGACAGGGTGAAGCTGAATAGTACCTACTTGAAGAGGCTTAGGCCGAGGTGGGCAGATAGAGCAGCGGGAGATAAAGTGCCCTCTTTCTCCACAATAGAAACAAAGGCCACAAACTCTCCTTTGGTCTCTTTCTCTAGACGACAGTCTCATTCTAGTGCGAGTTTGTGTGAGGGGATAGGGGGCTGTGTGTGTGAGGGGGTCTCCGCCGCCATGTTGGGACTCGATGCGGCGTCGCGGCTGTGGTCTTCTGCTGTATGATTGCGGCTGAAGTATGCCATGTGTGGTCGCCCGGCTGGCTCCGGACAGGTTGGAGCTGCCTACTCTCCAGCTTGCGCCAAAATTGGTTGAATAGCCTGTCCAGCCTAGTCGAGAGATCAGGGTTGTCTTCAGTTTTGTCGGGGGCCCGCTCTGCGTCTGCCATTTTGGTTGTGTTGCTGCAGGGTGTAGTGGCCGCCGTGGCTTTGCCTCTAGCTCGCGTTATGTCTGCGTAGCCTCCCAGTGGTGGACTGGGATCACCCCCATGGGGTAACGGGGTTTCCATGCAATGTTGTTGGCCCTCGAGCAGCTCCGGGCCGTGAGATCGGCCGCCTCCCTCGTCTGGTGTGCCTCAGGCCTCGTGCTTAGATTTGTGTAGCAATTGTGCTACTTGCAGTTTCTTACACCCCACAGTGGGTCTCAAGAGGGTCAGGAGTCGTGTATGTCACGTTAATCGTTCCCCTTGAGGCAGAATGGGGCTGAGAACTTCGATTCAAGTAGGCCTAGGAGATGAGCTCATGCAAGACACATCTCTCCTCCATGACAGTCAGGCCCCACCCCCCAATTTGTGCTCTTTTAATCCCCACAGAAATGGGATATATTGGCTCACCTTGGGTTTCTGGATATAGAGTGTCTGGAGGCAGAAGGAGATGCCATACTATAAAAGGTAAAAAAGGAATAAGAATATTAGAAAAAAACAAAAAACAAGAACCCTAAAATTGAAAAAACGACTATGGAAGAAACTGAAATGAAACGAACCGGCTGCAGGAATTAAAAAGGCAACTTCTAATAGTCTTTCCTCCAAGATAAATAAAAGGGAAGACTCCTCTACCTCCCAATTTGATATTGATTTGCCTAATCAATCTAATTTATCTGATGACGAAGCATTAAATATTTCTATAACAAATGGCAAATTAGTGGATTCCTTCCTTTCTCTTATCAGAGATATGCTACAAATCCTTAAAAAACAGAGCCTTAAGTGTAACGACCATGAGTAAAGACACTGCCAATGGAACCAAAGGGAAACTCTTCTAGCATTTTCCAAAGACTTAAAGCTGACGTCAGACTTCCTTACTGTAGCTTCAGTGGATATAACTAAACTTATCTCCAAAGCAATGGGTCATTCTATGGCAGCTAGGAGAGCTCTATGTACCCCATAGTTGGGGGATAGAGAGGGACTTACACTTTTTATGCCCTGTGATTACAAAATTTATTACAGATATAAATCTTCACAGCATTTAGAAACTTCCACGAAACACTTAAAAGGACATAATAAGAATCCCAAGTAGCAGTTCAAATATCTAATTTTGAACCTACCCCAGTTAGTCCTATTCATAAACAGGCTGTTTACTGGGGTCTTCAGAACAAAGAGAGGCTGAATTTTGTCTGGGAGACCCATGGTACACATGGGAAGGTGGCCAAAAAATAAAAAGGTGAATAAAAATTTAAGGAAATTCCTGTCTGTCTGAGGACAGAAAAAAAGACTGGTGTATGTGAAGGGAGGAGGGACCTTTTAAACACTTGGTCTTTGAATTCTAGTTCCTGTCCTGTTCTGGTCCTGAAGGTGGAGCTACCCATAAGTGATGCCGCCATGATTAGCCAGGAAATATATATATATATATATATATATATATATATATATATATATATAGAGGAAAATGCAACAAGTATAGTTGCACTCACAGTTAGGAGATAAAATCTTCAATGCTTTATTGGTTTATTTAAAAAGGATCGACGTTTCAGTCCATTTTGTGGACTTTTCGTACACATATTTGTGTACGGGGTAATAAGACATTTAATTAAAAGTATGTAATATGATAAGAACAAAAGTCGGTTGAGGTGTGCCGATACCGACGAGAGGTTGGACCTGCAATAAAGAGGGCAAAAAATTATAGCGATTTTATTTATATTTCCACAAGTAACAATTATTTAGACATATTATAGAAAGCCAGTCTGATTTCTTTCTCTGGGTTTGAAATGTACCTGTTGTATGCAAAGGATTTCCAGCATCCCATGTTCTTATTGATATGTGTCGGAACATGGTTACTAGAAACTGCCCCAATGCTGAATAAATGACCTGAGAAGAAGGCTGGATTGAGGACTAATCTGAGTAATAGTGTGCGTATGTATAGCATTCATTTTTTATTGGTAAGAGGTTTCCCTTGTAGCGATAATAGTGGGTAATCTGTTTTTTTAATGATCTGATATTTAATTAAATTGTCCAATGCTTCTACCGGACACCATTTAGAAAAAGTAGGATAATATATAATTTTTACCGGGGGGCCTGTCTGGCTAGTTTTAGTATGAGGGATCGACAGTATATAATGGTTGTTTACTTTTGCTTAAGGCATAACTAAA